GGAGAAAACTTCACTACTTTTTGGAAAAATCCTCACTACTTTTCGGAAGAAACCTCACTACTTTTTGGAAAAATCCTCACTACTTTTCGGAAAAAACACTTTTTGCTTGTACTACCAGTTACAGATCACTCTGTATAATTAAACATAGTAACTCGAATGGGGAAATATTTTTGTTATAAATATAATATACTATGACTAGTTGTAGGAAATCACTTAGGCATTTTTTTTTAATTTCTTTAAAATTTAAATCAGTTTAATGCTTTTAATTTTTGAATTTATTGTCATTTGTGAAATATTTATTAGTAAACAACTAATGATTAATTTATTAATAAACTTATTGTTCGGCTTTAAAATTATATGATAAGAATTAAAATTAAAATAAAAAGAATAACAACTTTTAAAGGGTAATGAAAATGAAAAAAAGACGATAAAAATTTATAAAAAAATATATTTTTTCTTGTTTTTTTTTCTTCTTCTTCTTATCGCGTTATATATTTTTTTAAGATATACAGATTAGAATCTTTGTACATTTATTCGTGATAATGTCACTCGTCGTTAATTAATTTAGAAATATTTGAAAACGCAGCGTTTATATTAGGTCATAATATTAGTCATAAATAACATCTGTTTTTTATAAAACAAAGAATGGCATTTCTGCGACTGATTAGTGCAGGACACTTTTCATGGAGTTTTTTCTTGCACTTTTTGCATCTGTTGGACGTATCTATTGAATTTTGGTTTAATATTACCTTTAAAAGGTTCGTCAATGTCGGACGTCAATACGTCCTGCACTCGGTTCAAATTTTAAGGTCTTATCTCCAGAACGGAATTTTACAAACCAATTTTTTATTGTCCTATCAGTTATCAGTCCTGCACCGTATAAGCTGCATATTTTTTCAGTTGCCACTTTAGTGCAATTGCCTTGTTTATATTCCTAAAGCAATATTGCATTTCGAATATGCACTTTTTACTATCCATTTGAGAGGTTAAGATAAACTGTTAAATGTAACATTGACTACATCAAAAAATTGACAGAAGACTAACTGAATTTTCATCTATACAGTGATATCAAAAATCCGTTTGTTTCAGTGACTTATAGTAGGTAAATACGAAAAATAGATGCTACATAACCTCAACGGAAGTTACTTATAACTCGACCTAATACTTAACATCATCATCATCATCATCATTATATATTAACGTCAATTTAAAAATGAATCTTGATTGATCTTTTATAAACTCTCAAAATCGTTTAATTGATCATTTATATCAATTATACTTAAAATAGTCTTTTTTATGATCCTTTCTAATCGAAATGCCATTAGAGTATAAGATGAGAAGACGATGAAGATTGATTATTGCGGTGGAAGGTATTTTCTGTCGACGTTGTTGTTTTTATCAGAACTTGGTGGAATATATTTTCCTAGTCCTTTTCCATTGAGAACATTATCAGGTGGTCCATTTGGTGGATATGGTGGTTCAACTAGTTTATTATTTCCATGATCAATTCCAGTACCAACAATTCCGTTACCACCAGCAGCTGTACCAAATTTGAATGAGGCTCTGTTCCCATTTTCATCAGCGACATATCTTGAATTTATTATATAAATTATTATTATTATTATTATTATTATTATTATATTTATATTACATATATATATATATATATATTTCTTATTCTTGTTTTTATATGTTAAATTAATATATAAAATTTATTAAAATAATTCAATTGTATTAATATGTGTAGCATTTACATTATTAAAAAAAATATATTTAATTGTATATTAAATTATACCGGGGGTGTAACATTTAAAACATTAAATCTTAATTAACTTGACTGCTATTGGCAATAAAAGCAAAATTGTGTTTGACAATACTTATATCAGTTTAGTGGTTAAAATAAATTTGTTGACTACCATCGATAAAACAAATCAGATCATTCCCATCATTATCTTTTTTATTAAAATGTTCACACGTTATAATAAATCAAAAGATTGACAATTTAATATTAATTATAAATATTTAAAGATAATAATAAATAAAATGAAAAAAAAAATAGAAAAAACATACTTAACAGACACAGGAAGTCCTTCAGGGCTTTTGTAAGAGAAACTTCCTTCCACTACGCGAACAGGTTGACCATCAACAATTTTAATATCTTCCTTTTCTTCCCTTTGAACTCCATCCACGTTACTTGAACTTGGAAGACCACCACCACCACCACCACCACCACCTTCATAGGGTGTCTTCAGGATGAGTCCACCTGATCCACGAGCAAATGGTGGTGCTTTTTGATCGGGTGACAGTTTCTCAGCAGAACAGCATGTCAAGGATAGCAGATAAATGGTAACCTGTTGTGTATCATGAAAAGTTTATTGTTTTTTTTTTTTGTTCATTTTGTTAACACTTTATTAAGGTTCTAACAACAGTTAAGTCTGACAACAACAGTTCAACCGTAGATTCTACTAACAGATTTTAATAACAAACTTTAATAGAATGCTAATAAGATTATAATAACAAATTCATTTAATGAACGTGATAGTGATTCTTTTTGGTAATGTTAATCAATTACTAAGTTTTTGGTAGATAACCAAGAGTTGATTAATAAATGTTTGTTCTGTTCATTTAATGATAATGATTCTTTATTGTAATGTTAATGAATTACTAAGTTTTTGGTAGATGACAAGAAGAAGTTGATTAATAAATTTTTGTTCAGTATGCATCAGTGACAAAACAACTTATTAATAGGCTAGTGATCTGTAGTAAGGGTCTGTAACAAAAAACCTATTTATAGGTTAACTGTAGTTAAAGTGTTAAAAATGATTGAAAAATTTAAATGAAGTATTTATGATAAATATTGTAAAATTTATTTGATCAGATAAATAAAGATGTTAAATATTTTAATATAATTATATGTTCTAAGTAATGTAATAAATTTCTGGAATGTCGAATGAAAATGTGATGAAGATGAAGATGAAGAAAAAGAAGAAAAAGAAGAAGAAGAAGAAGAAGGTGATACTTATGTTTCTGTTTTGTATTGTTTTTGTTGATTTTATTTAAAAATGATTGAAAAATATAAATAAAGTATTTATGATAAATATTGTAAAATATATTTGATCAAATAAATAAATATGTTGAATATTGTAATATAATTATATGTTCTAAGTAATGTAATAAATTTCTGGAATGTCGAATGAAAATGTGATGAAGATGAAGAAAAAGAAGAAGAAGAAGAAGAAGATGAAGGTGGAATTTTGTATTTTTTTTTTTTGAAACATACATCAATCTTTCAACAACCATCTATTGCATCATGTCAAAAGTAAGAAATGTCGATAGTAAGGTAATAGTAGTGCGTAAGGTTCGATAGCTCGATGACCCACGATCAACTCGCATATCACTTTGAGTATATGCTACGACATGGTAAAAGTTAAATTGTATAACCCAAACGATTCTATTGAAATCATCATCGTACGTGTATCACATCGTAACAGTAAGTTGGACCATCTTGAAATACCCAAGTGTGTACTTTCTACTTAATTATTCCTCATCACATTCATCGTAAGAAGAAAAAGAAGAAAAAGAAGAAGATTTCTTATTTTTCGTTTTCATTCAATGCCTTGGGGCTATCTGAACGAAGAAGAACGTTCCCTCAGTTTACTTTCATTCAAAACCGATCAATTTTCCGATAAGACGTAAGATCGAATCAGAAGAGTTTAAATATCATTCTGACTTTTAAATTCACAGACTTTTAAATAAAAAAAAAACAAAAAAAAAAACAAAAAAATACTTTTTATACGGTTAACAAATTATTTATGTAGTTTTTAATATATTTTTCTTTTTTTTTTTGCATTTCAATATAATTACAGGTTTTTATTTTATTTATGGTAATTCGAATTTCAATTATTATTATATAATAAGATAGTGTGTATCTCGTGGATCGTTTTACAATTATAAATAATGTAATTTTAGTTTCATAAGTATTAATTATTTCTTTAAGATAATGTGACACAAAATCATTTATTATTTATATCAAATAAAATATGTTTGTTTTGAATTATATTTTAATAATAGTTTTAAATGTTTATATTATTATTATTATTATTATTATTATTTTGTTTATTATATATAAAATTCATGGTAGTATTTTAATTGATATTAATACAATGTATATATAGTAATTTAATTTTATTTAATATATGTCATAATATAATTAAATTAATAATATTATATACAATTTATTTTTAATATATATATATTAAATATTATTTAATTATTATTTTTATATAAAATAATATTTAAATTTATATTATTAAATTAATATTTAATAAATAATAATATTAATAATTTATTTAATATATTATTAATGAAATTTAATTTTCCAATCTATGGTCATTAAAATTTACAAATAATTTTATTAACCCAAGAGAGACTCTATATTTTGTAAATTTTCTGTTTTAATTGCAAAACAAACATTTCTAGAATATAAATCTATAGATTTAATTAAAAGATATGATTTAACGAATGATGAATTTATGTATGGGGGATAAAAGAAGAAAAAATGAAGAAAAGAACCTAGCAACGTAGTATTATAATAGTTATGTAATTGATAGATAAGATATAGTAATATTATTAGCAAAGTATAGATAGAACCGAGTCTTTCGATATGAAGAAAAATTTTCAGGATGATGGTAGTCTAAGTTTGTCAGTGAAGAAGATAAGACGTTATGGTGGTGGTGTTACGCGTTCGTTGATTCTTAAACGTGAATGTAAACTTGCATTCTGCGACATTCGTGCGGGATTTACGATCATCTGGAGGATAGGTCGTGTTATTTTGTTCGTAACCGAATAGAAATTGCACACGAGGAAAACATACGTGAATATATCTTCTTTCAACGTTGGAATAAATTTTGTATTGGTTAATTTATATATATATATATATGTATATGTTGAGTATCATTATAAATAAGATATAAATATATAAATATTTTTAAAAAATAGGAAATGAAAGGAAAAATGATATTTTTAATATGTATTGTTAATATTTATTTGATATGTAATTAAAATTATAATATTTTTCAATTAGTATTAATCAATATTTCTAATAGGATGTGTTAAAGATGTGTAAGGATGTGTAGTATTGATTAATAATGCAATTTAAAAAAAAAAAAACAAATAGAAATGTTAGCTATTTTCATGTAAAAATGAAAAATTATTGATTATTTACACTAAAATATTGAAAAATATTTATTCAAAAGAAGATAGTAATCATATGTGATATTTTTCTATACAATATATGTGTTGATACTTTAAAATATTACTAGTAATACAATTTATATTGAGTATCGTTATAAATAAGATTAAAAAATATATATATAAAAAAAAGAAATGAAAAGAGAGACTTAATATTGTTGCTATTTATTAAAAAATATTTTGCAATTATTATTTATCAATATTTGTAATAATAATTGTAATATTAATAATTGACATTATTGTGTGTGTGTCTTGTTGTGTATTTTTGATTAATAATGCAATTTTTATAAAATACCAAAAAAAAGAAATATTCATTTATAAAAATGAAAAATAATTTATTATTAATACTAAATTATTGAAAAATATTAATCCAATAAAAAGAGCATTAACCATATTTGATATTTTTCTATTCAATATACATATAAACATATATATATATATATACTTCAAAATATTACTAGTAAATTAAAAATTGAGAAACATTGTTACAAATGAATGATATGGGCGCATATATGCGTCTATAAAATCTAATCCACGTGATCTAAGGACGCATATATGCGCTTATCATCTTCATTGATTCCAAATTCATCTTCTTTTCTCTGTTCTTTTTATTTTTATCAAAATAATTCAACATTAACGAAGTATTAACAAAACGTATGATCAGAATTTTGAATTTGGGTGCATATTTGTGTCCAAAGAAAACAATCCACGTGATCAAAGGACGCATATATGCGGTTATCATCTTCATTGGTTCAAAATTCATCTTCTTTTCTTTTTTTTAAGTATTTATTAAAGTAAAAAATGTTTTCATTAATATCAACGTACCAATGATTGTCCAACGACGAGGATAACTCGACGATGATCCATAATCGATGATCGTTGTTGTTAAATATTGTTGTTAGAAATGTTGTTTGACAGAACGTTGATCACTTATGGTGGTGAGAAAATGACACACTCCAAATGGCATATATATCCCACGAACACGACACGAATCCACGTAATTTCTACGTAATAGTAATTTTTTTTCTTTTAATTACAATCGTATTAAGTAATTAAACAATTACATTTAATTTAATAAATAAAACCAAATCAAATAAATAAAACAAATAACTAACGATTCACATCTAAACCTTTCTTGAATCTTAAAATATATATATACATATATAATAATAATAATAATAATAATAATAATAATCGTGGGATTATTTCAAATATCTTATTTCAATCTTTAATTTTTATCTGAATAATTTTTTTCTTTTTTTTGGCTGATATAATCAAATCAAAATGTAATTTTTAGCAAATACACGATAACTATTTGGTCATTGGAAAGATTCAACCGTTTATATCCAAGTTTCATAGCTTCCCCGTTGCTTATATAGTCCTCGATAAATGAATACTTGAATCCCCTCCCCCTCCAACCTCCCCTCCTTTTTCCCTTACCCCCTCCGTTATTGTTTTCCCTTCTCATCTTTTACCGTTCGTTCATTTGACTCCGGTTCGATAGATGAACAACTAAAATCCGGAGTCAGCTCTCGTTTTGTTCTTCTTCTTCTTCTTCTTTTTCTTCTTTTTATTTGTTTGGGTTTTTTTTTTCTTTTCTTTTTTTTTTTCTGCTCCCCCGGATGTGCATGAACTCGAGTTTCACTCGAGAGTCATCGATCGTGTCATCGATCCTTTGAAAAGATCTTTGATTGTGTTCGCCCCCGCAAACGTTTAGAAGAAGAAGAAGAAAAAGAAGAAGAAGAAGAAGAAGAAGAAGAAGAAGATTCACACAACAATTGATGTTTATTCCCTTCCCATTTGTATTAAAACACTCTCGCGACATTTAAAAGTAAGTAAAATAACGCTATGTGGATATATTCCGATTCGATTTAGAAAGGAACACGTATGTATGTATGTATGTATGTATGTATGTATGTATGTATTTATTTAATCGACCCTTTTTCTTATTTAACACATTTGTTAATAGGAATAAGTAAGAATAAGAGATTGAGGAATATTTTGTAACCCTTTCTTTTTTCATATTATTTTGAATTATTTGTATTTAGGTTTTATATTTTTAAGGGAATTTTTATAAAATATAGGATTGTTGATATTTTAAATTATTTTTCTTATATTATAGGTTTTTTTTTAAATAATATTTGATAGAAGTACGATTTGTATTTTTGTGTATTATTATTATTAATTTAATTTAATTTAATTTAGTTTAGTTTAATTTAATTTATGTGTGTTAGTTTAATGTTAATTTTTTGTTGAAGAATCGAATATATTTATTTTTTATATTTTTTGGGGAATTTTTATAAATTATAGGATTGTTGATATTTTAAATTATTTTTCTTATATTATAGGTTTTTTTTAATAATATTTGATAGAAGTACGATTTGTATTTTTGTGTATTATTATTATTAATTTAATTTAATTTATGTGTGTTAGTTTAATGTTAATTTTTTGTTGAAGAATCGAATATATTTATTTTTTATATTTTTCAGGGAATTTTTATAAATTATAGGATTGTCAATACTTTAAATTATTTTTTTTTTTTTTATAGGTTTTTTTTAATAATATTTGATAGAAGTACGATTTGTATTTTTGTGTATTATTATTAATTTAATTTATTTATGTGTGTTATTTGAATGTTAATTTTTTATTAAATAATAAGAGGTTGATTTATATAAATTATGGGATTGTGTTGATACTTTAAATTATTTATTGCATAATAATTTGCATAGGTTTTTATAATATTAGAAGAAATACGATTTTTTTTTAAAGATTTGTTTGTATTTTTGTATTATTAAAAATGTAATATATTTGTGTTTAATATGTTTTGAGTTTAATTTAATTTTTTATTATGGAATAAAAGGTTGAGGAATATTTTGTAACCCTTTTTCATATTACATTGAATTATTTTTATTATTTGTGTTTTACATTTTTTGTAATTTGTCTAAATATTTAATTAATATGAATACTGACAATTAAAATAAAATTGAAAAAAGGAAAATAAAATACAGATTAGTATCTTTACAGGTTTTTTTTTTTTTGTAATAAACAAAGAAGTACGATTTTTAAGGATTTGTAATTAATTAATTATTTAATTAGTAATTATTAATTTAATATATTTGTATATTAATTTAATATTAATTTGTTTGTTATCAATATAGTAGTAAATATTTAACAGTTAATAGATATTTCATTAATCGTATTTTTATAGGTTAGAATAAAATTCGAAAAATAATGATTTAAGGATTTTCGACTTTTGTAAAAAAGTCAAAATGTAATATATTAATTTAATGTAATAAATATTTGTATAATATATTTAATATTAATTTATTTTACAAATATTAGTAATAAATATTTACTCAATTATATTTTTATAGGTTAGAATAATATTCAAAAAATAATAATTAATTATTTCTAACTTTTATACAATTAAAAAGTGGTAATATATTTGTATATTAGTTTAATATTAATTATTTTTTTTTTTTAACAAATACTAGTAGTAGATATTTACTCAATCATATTATTATAATTTTTAATAATATTCTAAAAAGAATAAATTTAATATTTCTACTTTTGTCAAATGTACAATTAAACAATATAATACATTCCTATATTAATTAAACATTATATTTATTATTACAAAAATTAAATAATACATACACACATATAAAAACTGTCAATAAAAATATATTAAATTTTATATCAAAACCATTATTCATTAAAACACACGTACACATACATATGTATGCGTTTCTCAATGAATTCAAATGAATTCAAATCAAATATCCACATCATTTACCAATAAAAGAAGAATAAGAATAATGAGTCCTTGAAAAGGATTAAACAAACATACTCAATTTAATTCTCTTCTCTTTCTATCCTACCTTTCAATTTTTTATAAATAAATAAATTAATAAATAAATAAATAAATACTTAACTAATCGTTTACAATTCGTAATATAAGATCGTTCCCATTAAACATGTTCAAACGTACAATTTATTCTTGTCTTTTCTTTTCAACCTTCCTCTCACCTCCACCCCCATTTATATCCTACCGTTTGCTTGCCCCTATTTGAGATGAAAGACATATGAAATTTATCATGTCGGGTTTGTCGGGTTTGGCAAACGGATCCAAACGAAAAGGGCAACTTCGTCACGAACAACGTTTGAAGAAACGAAGAGAAACGAGAACTCGTTCGATCGTTTAAGGGTAGAAGGCCAGAACATACCACACACACACACACACACACATATATATATATATATACATACATATACAGATATGTATATATATATGTGTATAATACATAGATAGAAATGTACACATGAGATAACAATAATACCTCTTTATAGTTCTCTCATGAAACCTTTTAAAAGGATGCGTTTGCTCTTTGGTGTCATGCCGCGACGACAACGTTGACATTTTATTTATACTGCTAACTACTATTACTACTACTACTATTACTATTACTATTTATACTAGTATTACTTATACGTTAGTTTATTGCATTTAACCTAACCCATCTTGCATTCCATTAAAAAGAAGGAATGGTATCCAATAACGGTAGCGATTTATCAGTTTGATGATCGATCTCGATCATTCTTAGGATGATGATGATTATCATCATCATCATCATGTGGGTTTTGTTATAATATTTTTGTTTATTTATTTTAGTTAATATTTTTAATCTCTTTTGTATGAATAATAATTTAATATCATTT